AAAAAAAAAAAAAAAAAAACAAAAACGGATCATTTTTCAAAACAATACACGGTATAACCTACCGCAGATAAGCAATTGACGAAACATGCCCAAAAATTAATACGGCATTCACGTAATGTACAATACGTATGTATAAAATGTATATATATATATATCGATGATCTATACTTGATGCAAATCTCGCAACAAATTGTAAAAAAAAAGGAAAAAAGGTCGGAAAGAACGCAAAAATGATGCTTAGACGACGCGGCGACGCGATTTGTTTGAAACTTATAAAAATTATCTTTTTTTTTTTTTTTTTTTTTTTTTTTTTTTCTTCTCTATTGTCGATACATCGAGATTAATTATTAACGACGTGTCGTCATCTCGACGCCACCTCGTTCAAGATTTCGCACGACGATTCCACGACGGTGAATTCGAAAAACGTAGTAGACGAAAACAATGTGAGGTTGAAAAAATTTTGAAAAAAGCCAATCCGGTGCATAAAAAACAGTTACCAAAGAGAGAGAGAGAGAGAGAGAGAAGAAAGAGAGAGAGAAAGAGAGATAGAGAGAAAGAGAGAGAAAGAACGCAAAGAAAACGAGAACAGAGGAGTAACGGTGGAGAAGAGAACGGAAAATATGGGGAGCCACGTTTCAACCGGAATGAATGAAAAATCAATCGAAAAATAAGAGAAAAAAATGTATTTACCAACGTCTGAGGGAAGCATCTATTTGTAAAACGCATGCCCAAAAAATATTTACGGCACACACACACTAATTGTATGAGTCTGCTATAATCCGGATTAATTCCGCGATTACCTGGATAATCGCTAGAACGAATGTGACTTCCGCGAATATTCGCTTACCCCTTCGAGCGCGCCGTGTGCGCCTACCCGATTGCGTTAATCCGTCGCTTTCGATTCTTCCGTCGATTAACCGTCTCCCCTCCACGCTGAAAATTCTCCGTCGCTCTCCTTTATCTCTGATCCAACCGTCTTTCCAACGGCAGATGCGTTTCGTTGCGACGCGGATCGCTCGATGACGCTTTTAAGTTTCAGTCGAATAAAGTTATTTCTTACTGATCGATACTTTGCTAAGTAACGGAAAATTCGTTAGTTGTTTCGTAAATTGATTTTCCTTTCAAAAGAAAAAATTCACAGACGAAAGTAAGAAAGAGAAAAAAAAACTCGTTAGGCGGGTATCATAATCATTTGTAACGAGAAAATAACGAGTGTTGGGACGCACGATCAAATATAGAGAAAATTGGTATCCGTGTATATGGGACGTAACAAAGCATCGTGCATCCATCTGTTGCCCGTACCGCAAACGTATCAGGGAAGAAATTGGCACGCGTTTGACATTCGGTCGATCACGTGACGTTATACGCGAGTGCTCGCGTTCATATCACCTCCTCTTTTACTGCAGCACGTGGTCACGGCATCTGGTTCAAATGCATACGCAATTAACCTATCCGTTCCGTGCCGGAAGTCCATGTGTTTCGGCAACCAATCCATGTGTTTCCGCTTCAAAATCGTGCGTGGAACACCCCAATTTTCATTATCGATACATTTCCGTACAAAATTGTGTTTACGAAAAAAAAGAAAAAAAAAAAAAAAAGAAGCGACTCGTATTCGACAAATTGTACGCGCGAAATCGCATATTTTCCTTACGCATACGCACCATTCTCCAATTATATATACTTTTCGAATCTCGAAGTTCGCTTCTCACTCGTGGCTCGCTTCAATTTCGTACATTCTTACGACTAATTAATTCGATCGAAGATTATTCCAAGTTGCTCTTGTAATTTTAATCCCAACTTCTAATGAAACTTCCTACCGTAAATCTAAATTATAAAGTTCAAACGGATAAGCAATTACCGTACGCTCGCTACCAGTATAATTTCCGATATCGAGCCAAGTAAGCGTAAATCCCGCTAACGCTATTCCAACAACGACGAAATATATCTTGGATCGAGAACGCGCAAGATAACATTTCTAATGCAGCGTAACGCAACGAAACGTGATCGATCCCCGTGGAAAGTAATTTTATTCGAGAGAACGAGTCCGTATTTTCTAATACTCGTTTGAAGAAATTGCCGTTTATCAAATTCGTATATATATATATATATATTCGTGTATATATATTGGGAGGATCGGAGCGAACGGAACGCTTCGGTTCAGCGCACAATACGCGCGGCTCGCGCGAATTACAGCAACGCGAACGAGCTTTGGCAAACGAACTGCTCGCTTTATTCCCCCATATTTTCTTCTTTCTTTCATTTTTGTTTTTTTTTTTTTTTTTGTTTTTTTTCCGTTCAAACGAATACTCGTGCTCACCACCTGACGTGTATGCATCTGTGCTCGTGTTCGTCGGGTCGTCACGCGTTAACGATGGGCGTCCCATTGTTCCGATGGAATACCGCGTTTCGATAACCAGTTCCATCTGGTGAGAGAGAATCTTAAATGGTTGGAAAACGTTGGAGGTCTTGAAATGTCGGAATCGAACGTAATGCATGCAGCGGTATAAATATATATATATCAAAATACTGTAATATTCCTGTAGCTTTCTATACCAACGATCTATACCAACATCGTCATTTGTATTCGTATACTCGGTTCAGCAAGTTTAATGCAGCTTCTACCACTACTGGGAAGTCTTCAACGGTTTCAAGACAATTTCGTCTTCCAGACGGTTAATCCATTCAAGATTCTGACCAATCGTCGGGAACCAACTTCAACTTGGAGAGATCGACTGGGCTCGAACTGGGGAGNNNNGGAATTTCGTTGGATCCATCGTCACCGCGATGCGACGTTCACGAAAAAACACGCGATAAATTTTACGTTTATTACGTTAAGTTTTGCGAATGGACAAACGTTATCTTATCTTAACGATCGCAAATAAAAATTTTTACTTCGAGTCGCGAATCGATTGCACAATTATTACATACACATTATTATATATACACAGCAATGGAAAGCCGCGTATATCCAGCCCATCGTTAACCATTCGACCGACGTACGTGTATGTATTTATGTACGTGTACATGTGATTGTGTGTAGATATGCGTGTGTATGGAATCGTACACAATATCAATTAACGTGCACAAGAACAATACTGCCACGAGATTGCGTGCAGGGCGGGTTCGTGCAGAGCCGCACGGAGCATTAACAGTGTGACAGACCTGGCTTTAACAGACACAACTTTAGCCCCAACGGCCATGTTCTCTTTACAGTAGATCGGCCCATACACTATATGGTCCCACACGGGTGGATTATTCGCACGGTCCACAACGTCAATCTGTACTTCCACCGTTCGCGACAAGGGCGGGAAGCCCTTGTCTTGGGCCATCGCCTCCAGCTTGTACATCTCACGCTACACCAGACCGCGTGTACATAACAAACGGGAACAAAAAACAAATGGTGTTAGTAAGTCAGTCGTAATGACTCGTGGCAGTGAGTATTTTTTTTTTTTTTTTTTTTTTTTTCCGGGAGGAGTACACGGAGGAGGACCTCTCTCATCGTGTCGTCTCGCTCTCTCTCCATCTCCAAACCGTGTTTCTCTCTCTCCCTCCCGTGTTTCGCATCTCTTCCCGCATTCTGCCATATTAGCGCTCACACCCTGGTGTAGCTGGCCTGCTCTCATCGTGTCTCATCTCGTCCCTAGATTCCTCGTCCACCTGTGGACCAATCATTCCCGGACGCGAAGTGACATGGAGTGTCCGGTATCTCCGGTAGCCGCTTTACACCGCTCTACCCTTTCTTTTTCTTTTTTTTTTCCTTTTTTTTTTTTTTTTTTTTTACATTAGCGCGATTATTACATTCTAAGCATAAAGCGGGGCTAGGCGGCAGCAGGAAGCTGAACGTGCCGAACACAGCTGTACACAGGTGATCGCCGATCCCTGCCTCCGCACCTGCGTCTGTCTGTTCGTCAACTGCACCTCGTGAACAATAGAAAAAAAGGGGAAATTTTGTTTATCTGAGGGACCTCGGTACGCATCATCCTCAGCCTACCCTATATATTATACGGATCATCGCGCTAAGGACAATCCGGCATCCGGTTTTCCGAACTCGTACACACATCTAGGGATGTTTTCCGCTAAAGCTCGTCGAAGCCGAGCCTCTCGACTACTCTCCTCGTCCTCGATCCTTCCTCCACATTTCTCTTGTCCAATCCTCTCGTCGTCGACCAAGCGACGACCACGTTCTTAGTATCGATCTAGCTCGGGATCCAGGAGACCGATATCTAGAAATTCGGCTTCGACGAGTGATAACAATTAACGTAAGTAAGGGATAGATAGTAGTGGTAATAGTATAGTAGTGGTAGTAATTGTAAGTTACAGTAGTAAGTAAGTAGGTAAGTAGTAGTAATAGTAGTAATAGTAGTAGTAATAGTAGTAGTAGTAGTAATAGTAGTAGTAGTAGTAATAGTAATAGTAGTAATAGTAGTAGTAGTAATAGTAGTAGTAATAGTAGTAGTAGTAGTAGTAGTAATAGTAGTAGTAGTAGTAGTAGTAGTAGTAGGAGTGTCCGACCAATCAGCGATCTACCGCGCCGCGCTTAACCATACATGCTTCCTCTCCCGTAAAATACATCATGTAAGTATACGAATAGAAATAAATGGAAAATAGGGTAACGATAACGAACCAAGGATACACAGAGTGAAAATCAAAATGTACACAGAGGCAACGATACGTGTGACCGATTCGTAGAGACACGTAAAAACGAGTGAAGCTGATGATAAATAGACGGGTGAACGCGGAACATGATGAAAGAAATCGATATCAGACGAAACATGGTGTGAAAAAGAATGGAAAAACAAAAGAGAAAGAAAACGGAGAAAACGAAGAGAAAAAGAGAGAAAGGGAGAAGAGAGAGAGAGAGAGAGAGAGAGAGAGAGAGAGAGAGAGAGAGAGAGAGAGAAAGAGAGAAAGATTTAAAAAAAATGGGAGTTAGCATTGCATGGCACGGCACGGCATGTCACGTGTCTTGTCTCGGTCATGTCGTGGCATACAAACCTGGCTTTCACCGACGTCACTACAGTACCCACTGTGACATTTTCTTTGATGTGAATGGGGCCGTATACATTCGCATCCCACACAGGTGGTTTATTGTTTCTGTCTACGACGTCTAACTCAACGTCCACGTCTGCGTGCAACACTTGCATCCCTCTGTCGGAGGCCCGTACTCGCAGGCGATAGCTGTCACGCTAGTGGCAAAACATTGGGCCGTCAACTCACAGGACATTTTTTTCGAGATTGTTGTTGGCGGATTTTTTGTATTTTTTTATTTATTTGTTATTTACTTTTATTTCGTTTTTTTCTGTTTCTTTTTTTTTTTTT